CCTCCTCACCTTGCCCTGCAAGGAGACAGGCCCATTCTCCCGGGCAACCCACTGGCAGGTCTCGGGCAGGGCCTCCATAAGGGGAGGCCAGGGTCTCTCGTCCTGGGCAGGGGACCCCCTAGGACAGCTGGCAGGGGCTTGACAGTCTGCTGAGCTGGCTGGGTGGTCCCAGGCCAGGCAGAAACCAAGCATAGCAGGTTCCTCATCCACAATGTCCTGGGGCCCCCGTCCTAGGCCTCGGGAGCCAGAGGCTGAGTGACCCTGGGGCCCCTGCAGAGGGAGAGCCCAAGAAATGGAACTGAGGGGCCCCATTTCCTGGTGCCCTCCCTACTTGGGGCCGTGGGGAGTCCAGGGCTGGCCCATGAGGGTTTCTGGACAGGGTTTCCTCCAACCCTGCCATTTTGTCTTCCAGAGAGCCCTGGCAAAGTTAGAGAGGTTCGAGTTTTATGAGCGGGCTAAGAAGGCTTTTGCTGTTGTGGCAACGGGGTGAGTTCCAGCTGACTCAGACCTGTCCCCATCCCCACCGGCCCCTCAGGAGCTGCCCCCGTCCCCACCGGGGCCTCAGGAGCTGCCCCTACCCTCTTCTCAGCTTCTGCCTGGCCGAGGCTAGATGTCCCACAGAGTGGAGAGACCAGGGAGGAATTTGGGGGGCAGGGCCCCCATTTGCCTGAGCATCAAGTGGGTGAAGGTGGACGGGGTCTGCTCCGTCCCCCAGAGGCTGGAGAAAGGTCTCAGCACCCTGGCCCTGCCGCCCAGCTCAGTGCTGGGCTTGGCTCCTCTGCAGGGAGACAGCCCTCTACGGAAACCTCATCCTCAAGAAGGGGGTGCTTGCCCTCAGCCCCCTGCTGTAGGCCTGGTGAAGACCACCTGGGCCGGAAGAGGAATTGGGGGCACCCTGAGCTCCGGTACCACCACTCACAACAGGCCTCCCAGCAGCAGCCCCAGACCTGGGCCCTGGCCAGGGCTCTAGGGGGCCGGCAGTCATGGGGTGGGCCCTGCCAATTGGTACAAATGTCCCTGATTTGTGAAAATGATGAAAAAACGTAGTCGCCGGTAAACGTTCAGTCTAAAGGTTTTAATTCTGTTGTCACTCAGGCTTGTTTGGTGCTGAGCTCAAGGGAGGCTGCTGGCTCCAGAGAAGGCCCCCCATGTACCCTTGACAAAACCTTGAGTGGGAAATCAGGCCTGGGGCCCTGGGGGCTGGGCGGGTGCCTGGGGCCCTGGGGGCTGGGCAGGTGCCTGGGGCCCTGGGGGCACCAAGGGCTGGAGTGGGGGCAGTGGCTGCCCTGGAGGCCTTGAGAGGGGTGAAGGCTTCTGCCACAGCCTCTGGGCTGCGGACACTAAGGGGATTCTTCACCCAGGTCCATTCTTTCCGCCCAGCAGGAGGGCAGGTGGCAGGGGCTGGCGTGGACACTTCGGGAGGAACTGTGGGAGCTCTGTTGAGGGAGGTGCCGGCTGGAGAGGCCTGGGTGTGGGCCATGCCCTGTGCTTGTGGCAGTAGGTGGCTGCCTGCTGGAAGCCTCACTTGCCCTGGCAGGCAGGGGAGGTAAAGGACACGAGGTCATTTGGAGCCCAGTGCCGGGCAGAGGTGGGATGCAGGGGGCTCCTAAAAGGGGGCGCCTGGGAGGCTTCCCTATGGGATGCTTGGACTGGTCTCCAAGGATGGGGAAGAATCACCACCCGCTACTTTCCAGACCCTGGGCCTCTCCCCAGGACCCTCCCCCTGCTCCCCAGAACTTGCCTCAGTGACACAGGTACAGGAGGAAGATGGGGCAGGGCTGGAGTTTGAGGGACCAAGGGCAGGAGCGGGGATGACAGGGGCTCCCCCAGGGCCAGGGGCTGGTGTCCCCGGGATTCCAGGGGGCAAGTCCCAGGGTCCCAGACCCACACTCCGGACCACAGGAGAACCTTGGGAGTGCAGGCAGGCCCCCCCCAGCTGAGATCTGGCTCCAAGTCTGGGGAAGCGATCCTGTCTGGGCTTCGCTGTAGACTCCGGGGACCTGTCTGCCTGCTGCCCCCAGATGGCAGCCAAGGCCTTCTCCGTGCTCACTAGCGGTCAGCCTTGGCCCCATGGGCCTTGCGCTTGCCTGGCCAGTCACTGCCCATCTCCAGACCCCATGGCCACGTTGTGGTCTGACATCAGAAGTGTGCGAGCTGATTGCACACACCCTCGCCCATCCCGTTTCAGCCCCGCAGATGGGCCTCTGGGGCTAGGGTGCCCTCTCTAGCATTTTATGTAAATGAAACCATATATGAGCAAACTAATGAAATCATGAGAAAAAACAAAGTAATGGGCAAAACAAAATAAAGTCAAGATAGCTTTAAAAAAAAAAAAAAAA